TGGGGCCCTGGTGACTGGAGTGGGGGGCTGAGGGTGGGAGATGTCAGCCCCACAGCTGCTGTACCCAGTCTGATTCCATGTACAGGGCTCACTCTGGGAGAGTCTCCTTCTCCTGGCCAAGTTCTCAGTGACTCCTCCCTCCACAGTGTCCTCATGGATAGGACACTGGGGCTTGTCATTCTTGTACTCATCACTGGGATCAAATACCCAATAAAAACCAGATTAAGGAAGGCTGGGCTTATTTTGGCTCACAGCTTAGGGGCACAGTCCATCATGGCAGGAGAGCTCAGTGACAGGGGCCTGATGCAGCATCCTCGGTCAGGAAGCAGAGAGAGACGGATGCTGGTGCTCAGCTTGCTTTCTCCGTCTCCCTTCCACTCAGTCTTGACTCTAGCCCACCAGACAGTGCCATCACCACATCCCGAGTGGGACTTCCCTCCTCAGTTAAACCTCGCTGGAAACAAGCTCATAGGTACACCCAGTGGTGGGTCTCCCAGTTCTAAATGCAGTCAAGTTCACAGTGGAGCTTGCAGGGGCCTGTGAAGGCTGGAATCCGGATCAAGTTCATCCACTTAGCAACTGTTTAATAAACACCATCTCATGCAGAAATAAGCAAGGCACTGGCGTAGGAGGCTATAGTCCTTGTGGGCATCAGGTAACATGCAGGTAGACCTCATATATGTGGCCATGGGGTCCCTGAAGGTCACAGGCAGGGAGCCCCCAGGGGCACCTTCTGTGCCCTGATGTTAGTTTCCAGTGGCCGCTGCAGCAAATCACCACACCAGCTTGCATGTAGGTGGAATTTTCTGTCCTGCCAGCCAGCTCCCAAATAACCACACAGAGACTATTACTAATTATAAATACTCTGCCAATAGCTTAGGCTTGTTACTAATTCGCTCTTATAACTTAAATTAGCCCATATTTCTTATCTACGTTCTACCACGTGGCTCAGTAACCTTTCCTCAGTATGGCATGTTCACTTTGCTTCTCCCCACGTCTCCTGACAACTCCACCCTTCTTCATCCCAGAGCTCTCTTCCTGTGTAAAAGTCCCACCTAACCTCTTCCTGCCAACTATTGGCCATTTAGCTCTTTATTAAACAAATGAGAGCAACACATCTTCACAGTGTAATGACCCACCCCAGCCTCCCTGTTTGCACAGAGCTACCACCTGCCTCTCTTTCCCTCTTATGCCTCTTGAACCTCATTTCCAGCTGCTGACCCCCTACTCCCCTTCTGAGAACTTCTCAAGCTACAGTTGGGGTTTCTATTGCTGTGATGAAATACCATGACCAAAACAAGTTGGGGAGGAAAGGGTTTATTCAGCTTACACTTCCACAGCACTGTTCATCATGAAAGGAAGCCAGGGCAGGAACTCAAACAGGAAAAGGATCCTGGAAGTAGGAGCTGATGCAGAGGGCATGGAAGGTGTTGCTCACTAGTGGGCTTGCTCAGCCTGCTCTCTTATAGAACCCAGGACCACCAGCCCAGGGACAGCCCCACCCACACTGGGCTGGGCCTTCCCCCACCAATCACTAATTTAAAAAATGCCCTACAGTCAGAACTTTCTCAATACAGGCATTTTCTGAATTGAGGTTCCCTCCTTTCAGATAACTTTATATTTTGTCAAGTTGACAGCCAATAAACACCTCCTTGCCAAATCTTCCCTCACCCTTTTCTCAGGCTCAGTGGATCCCTCCATTTCTGGACTCCCTTGGGACCCTGAGTTGAACTAGATTAAGCCAGCACACAGCAGGGCTCAGACTGTGTTTGTTGAATGACTAAGAGAAGTCATGAATGGTCTGTTATTATCTTATAGGTTCGAATTTCATATTATGGACCCAAGACCTCACCAATCCAAGCCCTGCTCTACCTCACTGGGGTGGGTAAGTGATGACCAGGGTCCCAAAGAGCTGCCAATGGCGCACACCTTTAATCCCAGCACTTGGAGGCAAAGGCAGGCAGATCTCTGAGTTCAAGGCCAGCCAGGACTAAATAGTAAGATCTGGTCTCAAAAGGAGAGGGAGGGAGGGAGGAATCATAGAGCTGCCTTCTGTCTCTACACAGCATATCACCACCCAGCAGGGCATCTTTCCAAGACAGGACATGACTAGATCTTACTTTAGAGCAAGCAAAGAAAAATGATCATTTCTAGCTGGCCAGATGCCTGGTGATTCATAAATACCCCTTCCCCGGAGAATGAACACAAAGAAACACAGATGGGGGCTAGGGATGGGGGTAGAGTGCTTGCCTAGGTAGTTTGAAGCCCCAGGTTCGATCCCTGGTACTACATAAACCAGCTGTGAGGTCCACATCTGTGCTCCAACCCCTGAGAGGCAGAGGCAGAAGGGTCAGAGGCTCAAGGTCACCCTCAGCTGCAGATGAGTTTCCAGCTACATAGAACTCTGACAATAGTTAGTTAATGTAAGTGCAGGAGAAGACTCACATTACAGTGTAATAACTGGTTTCTCAGGCTAGGAAGTAGGTGCCTGGATTCTATGCACAAGTCTCACCAATAACACATTTATGCACATGTACTTGTTTTTTTTACTGTGCATTGGTGTTTTTGCCATGAGTGTCAGGTCCCCTGGAACTGGGGTTACAGACAGTTGTGAGCTGCCATGTGGGTGCTGGGACTTGAACCCTGATCCCCTAGAAGAGCACTCAGTGCTCTTAACCACTGAGCCGTCTCTCTAGCCGCATACTTATACTTCTTTAATATCCATCTTTAAATAGAATTTATTAGTGTAGCTGGAGAGATGGCTCAGTGGTTAAGAGCATGTATTGCTCCAAAAGAGGACCGGAGTTTAGCTCCCAGTACCCACATCAGGTGACTCACAACCATGTGTAACTCCAGCTCCAGAGGATCCAATGCCCTCTTCTGGCCTCCACAAACAAAAACACTCATATACTCTCCCCCCCCCCCCCCACCCCCCCCCCCCCCCCCCCCCCCCCCCCACACACACACACACACCCCCACCACCACCATACATACCACATACACACAAAATTAAAAATAAAAATAATAAAATCATTTTTAAATCCATTCTTAGAATCACAGAGTTCAGGAGCTGGAGGCTCTCCTGCACAACATAGTGAGACCTTGTGTCTAAGTTTTTAAAAATTAAATCGATTTTTAATGAGATCTCAACCTGAACAATACACTCTTTTTATCTAAGTGTGCATTAAATATATAATGTAAACATGTAAAATCTCCAGATGTCGCTTTTATTGATAAATTTCCTTCATGAGTATACATTTAAATAAAACGGGGCTTACTCTAAAGCCTGGTCCTGTGCTGAGATGTTGCATTTAATTCTTACAATAACCCAGTGAACTTGACCCCATGATCCCATTTCACAGATTAGGAAACTAAGGCTCAAGAGGTGAACACATTGGCTCAAAGAACTATTTACTGAGAGGTGGGGAAGCCAGGGCCACTGTGACTCTAATGCTATGTCCCCATCATGTATATTAGTGTATATATTATATCACAATAACAAAAGGTCATATTGTTCCTCTCATGCAGGCCATGGGTCCCTGTGTCACACTGTGAGGCACATGGGTCTACATTATTGAAGCAGTTGTGACCATACATTCTGATAAAGGGAAAGGAATTCACAGACATGCCTGTCCCTTGCTTTGACATTTGCACAGGGTGGATTTGGGGACTGTGTGTTTTGTCTCTGACACAGACACACGAGTATAAATAACAAAGAACAGGTGAAGGTGATGGGTTGACTCGGGTGGCCAGAGTTCTTGGAGAACTTGGCAAGGTGACCTGGCAGGGGTGTGGAGGCTTCCCTGGGGTGACTAGCAATTGCTTTGGCTCCCAAGGAAGGCAGAGTGGTCGGAAGGCCTGGCTCTGTTCTCCGAATTGTAGTGTGGCTTCTTGGGGACAAAAGAGTGGAATGTCTTCCCCTCTGAAGGAGTAAAGAGGCTCCCATCCCTGGGGCTGACCTGTCTGTCAGAGACAGTTTGAGAGCCTTACGGTTCACACTCACCAACTCTGCCCTCTCACGCTGGTTTCAGAGATCTCTCTGAGCACAGATGTCACCCGCACAGGCAAAAAGAAGTCAGCCAGGACGAAGAAGGATCAGGTAAGGCTCAAAGTGCATCAATACACACGCTTAGGGTCATGGTGCTCTCCTACTGCGCCTCCTGGTGGTGTCGAGCTGAACAGCGGCACCTTGCCAATGTCTCATGTTAACTTGTAAGGGACAACACCTACCAGGAAATTACTGGTGACCTTTTGGCTTATGCATATTCCATCTCCTTTACAAGATCATATTTACAAGCAATTGTGGGTTCAGAAATGGTGTTAGCCTACAAGCTGGGATCTCTACTGTCACCCTGGTAATAGGAAAAAAATACATAGATGGGTCTCAGCTGTGGCTCAGAAATGCTCTCCAGACTTATTACAGTCATTAGACTGATGGAAGAGTTTCCCATGTACAGGGGTGAGTGGGGGTGAGTGATGGAGATGGGAAAAGAGACAAGGGTGGAGGGACAGAGAATCGAGGCAAGGCAGGGAGTGTGTGTTGCAGAAAGAAAGATGGTTGGTCAGGGTAACAAAGGGGACCGCTATTAACCCAGGGTATGTGGGCGAATTCGAGCGTCCTTGGAACTTCAGAACTGCCTGCATGACTTCGTGTGGGTGGCTAGTATACACTTTGGCAGGCTTTAAATGCTGGGCCCCTTTGTGGGGTCCATCAATGGTAGGGCAAGGGGGAGAGTGTGGCTTAGAGTGCTTGTCTAGCATTGCAATTTGCCCAATATTATATAAGCTGTCACATTATAATAGATCTCTACAGGCTAGGCCACCCAGAGTTAGTTCAGCATTGGGCAGAGGGTGCCTGTTACCAAAAGTAGCCCTCACACCGGGAAGGAGTGACTGTGTGCTCACGAGAGAGTAGCGGGGTGGATGGGAATCTTGATATTCTTACGTATTTGACTCCATTTGTTTGTTGAGTCAATATATTTTTAAAGACTTTTAAAGAATACTTTACTATCAAGCTCCTTTTTAAGAATGGTGGATTGGGGCTGAGATGTAACTGAGTTGGTATAGTACTTGCCTAGCATGCACAAAGTCCAGGGTTTGATGCCCACCACCACAGACTGGGTATGGTGGCACATGCCTGTAATCTCAGCTTTCAGAGGTGGGGACAGGAGGATTAGAAGTTGAAGCTAGCCTTGACTAGAGTAGATGTCGTCTTTAAGAGACCACAAATACTGATGAATCACATTCAGATTTGGTTATATTTGGAGCCACCAAAACCCACTCTTTGGGCCCACGAATTGCTGGGTGAGAGAAACAGACAATGTGGGAGGGAGAGAAAACCAGCCACTTGTCTCCCTAGGGCTGATGGGATCTGAGAGGGTTCCCGACAGTGTCTTTTGCCTTCCCAGAGCACCTGGACCTGGGGCCCGTATGGCCAAGGCGCCATCCTGTTGGTAAACTGTGACAAAGAGAACCCAAAGTCCTCCAAAATGGATTTTGAGGATGACAAGATCTTGGACAACAAAGGTAAAGAATAGAGGCTGCGACCAGGTCCCAGAACAAGAGCTTTACCAGTCTACAGGCTCATTTGCCCATGCGGTCTTGTAACATAGCCCCCTGAATTTGGGGTTAGTGACAGCATGTTTGTGTTAGCATGTTCATGTTACAGGGGAAAGAATGGAAAAGTGTCCCAGGAGAGCAAGTGACAGAGTTGCACAGCAGTCAGAAGAGACTAGCATGGGCTACTGATGCCCCAAGAGGCTCCACTTTCCATGGTGGCCCCTGTCTAGCCCACACATCTGGCCTTGGCTCAGACATGGTGCCCAAATTAATTAAGAAAGGAGTGCTGGTCCCCAAATATTGCACAAGACCCCAGCGCCTAAGGAATGGGGAAACTGAGGCACAGAGATGTTAAGAAAAGAGATTTGAGAGATGGCTCAGGGGTTAAGAGCACTGAGTGCCCTTCCAGAGGTCCTGAGTTCAATTCCCAGCAACCATATGGTGGCTCACAACCATCCGTTATGAGATCTGGTGCCCTCTTCTGGCCTGGAGGCACACATGCAAGCAGAACACTGTACACATAATAAATAAATCTTTAAAAAATAAAAGAAAGAAGACAAGAAGTTAAGCTTGTCTAAGTCAAACAACTACTATGTAGCAGTCGGCAGAACACTACACATAATAAATAAATGTTTAAAAAATAAAAGAAAGAAAAAAAAAGAAAAGACAAGAAGTTAAGCTTGTCTAAGTCAAACAACTACTATGTAGCAGTCAGTATTTGAGGCAGGGTGTGGGCTTCACCAAGGCAGCTGGAGGGCGACGGGCACTGGGGACGCAGCAGTCCCCAGCCCACACGGTCCTTGTCTCAGACCTGCAGGACATGTCCCCAATGACCCTAAGTACGAAGCACCAAGGCAGCTGGAGGGCGACGGGCACTGGGAAGGCAGCAGTCCCCAGCCCACACTGTCCTTGTCTCAGACCTGCAGGACATGTCCCCAATGACCCTAAGTACGAAGACTCCCAAAGACTTCTTTGCCAAGTATCAGCTGGTGCTGCACGTGCCCAAGGCCAAAATGAGCAAAGTGAGAGTGTTTCGGGCCACACGTGAGTCGGCCTGACCCTTCCCTTGCCATCTCTGATGCTGTGACCCCGTGTTCCTTTCCTGGCCCACCAGATGGGGTACTGCCCTATCCCACTGCCCTTAGGCAAGTAGTTCCCTTGCAGCTACGGTGTGCTTGATTCTGAGTGCCAAGCACGGGCCTCTGTCCTCTGCCTCCAGATGAGGTGACTTGAGGAAAGGTCAATAGATGCCAAGTCCCAGCTGGCCCTTCCTGGACCCCTCTAGTCAGGAAAACAAGGTCCCAACTGGAGCTTTGATTCCCTCCCCCCTACCCCCACCCCCACTCTCCTGTAAACACCTCCAGGGGCCCTTGAGTAGAGACACAGAGTGACTGGGGCATTTCAGCACCTAGGAGAGGAAATCTGGGCCACATAGGTATGCTAGACCTAAGTGTACTTTTGCCTCTGTCTAGGGGGCAAGCTGCCGTCCAGGTACAAGGTGGTCCTGGGACCACAGCAGTTCTCCCACTGCCTAGACCTGCCAGGTGGCCAGCACAGCACAGACTTCTACGTGGAGGGTCTTGCTTTCCCTGACGCTGACTTCCAGGGGCTCATTCCCCTCACTGTCTCCCTGCTGGACAAATCTAACCCGGTAGGCCTCAGCCTAGGGGTGGGGGAGGGGAGGGGAAGCAGATGGACCCTGCTTGATGTGGCATTTCTTCTCATCTCTCCCCTCCAGGATCTCCCTGAGGCCCTGGTGTTCCAAGATAGTGTGACATTTCGTGTGGCCCCCTGGATCATGACCCCCAACACTCAGCCTCCCCAGGAGGTATACGTGTGCAGGTGAAGCTCTAGGAAGTTGGGTACACCAGGGAGAGCCCTGAATCTTGGGTGCTATGTTTGCTGGGAATGGGAAAAAGAAAACAAACTCCTGGCCCTCAAACGCTGGAAGCCATAATTTGATCAGGACCCTAGAGAGAGGGACAAACTGTTAAAGTCACTCCTCTGAGGTCATGAGGGCTAATGTTTGTAGGATTCCTGAAAACGAAGACTTCCTAAGGTCATTGACTGCTCTGACCAAGAAAGCCAAGTGCAAGCTGACTGTGTGCCCAGAGGAGGAGAATTTGGATGACCAGTGGATGCAGGTATGTGGCCCTGTCCACCTGAGGTCAAGAGACAGATGTGGGCCTTGGGCTCCCGGGGTACAGCCTAGTGCTGGGGGCCATCCTTCCTGGGATGGACAGGGAGGAAGGAGCCTCAGAAGATCCACACACCAGGGCACTCAAGCTGAGAGTTCGTCTGACATAGACTGTGAGCCACGGTGCCCCCCATCTCCACGCCCATCCCCAGACTTCCACCTGGTGCCTTTTGCCCTTCTCTCCTCAGATGTTTCCCTTCTCCTCACCCATAGCCCAGTCATGCTCATCAAAAGCCAGCATGAAGGCTGCCCCTCCATGCATGCCGTCCCTGAGGGCTGCCCCTCCATGCATG